GAACGGACAAGTTCGCTTTAGATGTTTTAACGACCTCGGGGTTATACGAAGCTCTTATCCTATGACAAACGCAATGTCTGCAAATGTTTTAGATATTTTTAGCTTGAAGTAATGTAGCTAGGATTAATTTTAGGTTGGAGGGAAAATAAGAGGGCTGGAATTTAAGTTACAAAATCATTAAATTTATTATTATTATTATGTAATACATCATTGTACATATCATAATAGTGTTTTTTTAATATTTACTTATTCTTAAAAGTACAAGTTTGTATATGGCAACCCGTTATATGAGATTTATCGTATTTACTTTTTCCATGAAGAAAGATTTTACGAAATAATTGTACAATTAATCTATCATTATCTTCGTAATCCTCGCTGAATGTTTCGAGAAATTGTTTAAGATTATAACCGCGGGACAAATAATAAAGAAATACGCAGCAATATTGTCCACAAGTCTGAGAAAATGTGCCCTATAGACGCATGATGTTCCATCTATGGTAGTAGAGTTTCATTGAAGTCGTAGATTGAATTTGGAATCCAAGGAAGGTAGTCCGTATCTATCGAAATAAGTGTCTTCTCCATGCTTGTCTATGTAGAAGGCAACCCAGTGTTGTCCAGGGCTATCGTGATTATCGGTATTCGCGACGATGGTCGTCGACTTCGTCCACACCATCGGGATTCTGTCGGCAGGATACACACCCGCATGTCCGACATTGAGATGACACAGCGCCCGTAAGATTTCGAGCGAATTCATCTCTCGCAGAAAGAAGAGACGATTCAGTTATTTCCCCCCTCTCTGGTGTCGCTATATTTTTATCCTCTTGCTTGGATTTTATGGTAGAAGTCTCCTTTTTTTCATGTGCAAGTTTCGATAGCTCTTTTTTCTCCGCTTTCATTTGTTCGCACTCCGCTTGTTCTGTTTCCAAGCTCTTATTTCCCCACCTAAGGAGATTCGGAAAATTTTGTTTTATCATAAAAACTCCGCTTTCTGTATCGGAATCATTGAAGCTTTCATCGGTAAAAGAATCATCGTTGCTCGAGTTACAGTTGTTGCCTTCTTGCGATTGCATCCAGTATCTCAGTTTACACGCATTGCGTAACGCGCAACGAACTTAGAATTTCGATGAAATCCATGATGAATGCAGCATAATTCATGCTCCTCGTCTTCCGCTAGGTTTTTGAATGCGGAAGAGATTCTTTCTAGATTATATACGTTTCTGCCGAGCGTCTTTTGCAAATAAAGTACTTTCTCACGGCCTCTGCTATATCAGGAGACACTGTAGTGTCTCGGGTGTCAAGTCAACCGAGAACACTACCGTGTGACTTTATGCGAGTCGTCGAGGTTCGAGCATCTGAAATTATCGAATCTCAATAACGGCTATACTGATCAAGTTCTAAGTAGGCTTGATCGATAGCTTGAGTCTGACTTGCATAATAAAAGTATTTTATTTTTCTGCTACGTGCCCTACAAGCAGAGATATTGCTACACAAAGTTCGATTTGGAAATTTTTACTTTAAGAAACGTCATTATCGTCGCCTTTGTACGGCTGCAACGTCTGTTACGAGATGTCATTATTAATCTTATCGATCCAGTGGATTGTCAGACTGAAGTCAGGGTTATTGTAGAATCTAGCGAATCAATGTTCGCTGGGTCCTGCAGTGACCCTGATTTATCGGCCTGATTTATCCGTTGGGTCGATAAAATTGATTGATGTAAACACGGTAGTGTTTTTGATTAGACCTCTCGGGTATCAATATAATAATAAATACACGTATATTAAAATTAAAAAGGAAACATTAGCAGTATTAATAAATTGCATACTACTATTATTCTTTTTCTGCACGTCCGAATGGTGGCCAACGATGTTGACGTTCGCGGCGAGTTTGACAATTTGTAATAATTTCGGAGTGTAACTCATGTTTGTGTCTATACTTTGCAGGTAAGTTTTATTTTTCATTTTATCAGAGAACAAAGATATTATTCTTTTATTCAATCTTATCTACATACTCTTATTATGTCACTCTAGAAAAATCAGTTCCAAAGCGAATAAAAATGAAAATTTGTCAATTAAAAAAATAACATATCTAGAGAACTATACATATATTATAATTTTGAATCATATTTCTAATCAACTATTTATTATTAGACAATTACATACATACATATGTATATATATATATATATATATAT